CACAGAGGTAGTATCTAGATCACGGCAAAAGCTGCCCAGAAAGTCCTGAGGACAATAAAAGCTAGCGGAAAAGAGAGATTCAGACATCGTTATTTCAAACTGGCTTCCAACAATCCCAAAAGAATACCTGGTTTATTTAAATATATTAGGCTCCTCCTCTGTGCACATGTGTACGCTCAGGAGACTCAGAAGGAGACAGATGCAAAAGAAATCAGTCCACTGAAGACGGCGAATGCTACGGGAGAGATGCCTACTGAGAAGTAGGAGCGGCCAGAGCAGATACTCTTAAGACCAAATTTGGGGATTAGATGAAGGCATCTATATATGATATCTGAACCGTTTCTTGGAAGACGAGTTAACCATTTCTCTGTATGTGGGGAAGAGAACAGTGAAGGCACATGACATACAAAACACAAGACATGCCATGGGGACACTCCATTCTGTTCAGTCTCTGCACCATAAGGCAGGAGTGCTGGGAGATGAAACTGCCCAAGTGAGCTTGTAGATTAAGTTGCTAAGGGGCTTGGGCTTTATTTTACAGGCAAGAAAAGTCACAGAAATGTTTTAGTTCGGGGAACCACTCACACCTTAACTAAGAACGTAGACATCCAGGGGGGCCCTACCCATAGTAAAGGAGGTGGGGCCTTGGGGAAGCATAGCCCTCATGAATGGGATTAGCCCCCTGATAAAAGAGACCCCAAAGAGGTCCCTCACTGCTTCTGCCACATGAAGATACAGCAAGAGGACACAGCGAGAGGATGGCCCTCCCAACCAGGAAGTGGAACTCACCAGCCACAGTATCTGCTGATGCCTTAATCATAGACTTCCCAGCCCCGAGAAACGTTTAAGAACAGAATTCCTGTTATTTAAGCCACCTAGTCTATGGGATTCAGTTATAGCAGCCTGGGTAGACCAAGACAGCTACCCCCACACTCCCACCAGTACTGTAACTCAGAAAAGGGACTTCCCACAGATTTACTGTTTAGTTGTTTTAATTCCATCTGTTGAGGCTGGCTTGACCGAGAAGAACATCTACTGCCTACCCTTCTGCCCACCTCTCAGCCTATTCTAAGCATTAGGAGCCTAAATTTTATCTAAACATCATGGTTCTTGATTTATCCCCAGGTTGAACATCACAGAAAATAATTAAGGTTGTTTGGCCAAGTATTTAGAAAGTTTGGGGACTCAAACATTTGAGGTTATTGACTTTTTGTCTCCTTCTCCCACCATGGTTGACTTGAGCCTGACCTGAGGGTGGGGATGACCCTGGACTGAGGCGGCCTATCCCGAGATGATGGTGTGTGCTCAGCATGAGCCTGTCCACCAACTGGATACCCCTTTCCTCTTGTCACCTACTGATAAGGTCCCTGGGAATCCAAATCAGGTATTCAACTCATGCCACCCCTCAACCTGGGATTTCACGCTCAACAGTGTGAGAAGCCAGGGTCCGGATGCCCTTGACCGTCACAGGATTGACTAGGTGGAATCACTCTAGTGGTCAGAATACCTGTTTAACCCTGAACTTGTAACCTAAGTCAATGGAAATGAAGTCCTGAGATGGAGCCTGCAGGAGACACTGTGTGAAATGACATCAGGAGAGGTCAGAAATGTCTGTAAGACTCAGAAAAAAGATGTTAATGAGTCAGGGACACCCAAGACAAACACTAACTTCTAAAGTTACAGCAGAGGTGAGTATAAGAGAGGGCCTATGGCTTGAGTCCTCAAGTTTCCACACAGAGGAGGGGACTTGCCGGGGTAAACTTTATCTCCCAGGTATTACGTCTGCTCCACAGGAGACACTCAAACATAATGCCGGGGTCCCTGATTCCAGTTCCTGTTTCCCGGAGCGATTCAGATCCGACCCACAATAGTGCTGCCGATCTCAAAAACTTTCAAAACACCCAGAATCATCTCTACCCTTAAGTGTTGGGAAAACAATTATTATAAAATATCTGTTTAAAACAAATTATTGTTTCAAAAGGGCATGGAAGCAGTATCAAATGTGTTCACCTCAATATATTCCTGCAAAGTGTTGGGCGAATTTCTGTAGACACAAAAAATACGGAAATTGTAAAAGCTGTAGGTATCTTTCTTGCCAGAAGATGGCGATACAGTCTAGTTATTTACTTAAGAGAAACTAAATTTTGCTGCCCAAGCAAATTTAAAGGTTTGAAGCCTAAGCTTCCGAGATGGAGTGCTTTATATCTACAAAATGATAAGCAAAATAAATCAGTTATTAAAAGGCAAAAAACAGGGGCGCCTGGGTGGCTCAGTCGGTTGAGCCGCCGACTTCGGCTCAGGTCATGATCTCGCGGTCCGGGAGTTCAGGTCCCGCGTCAGGCTCTGTGCTGTCAGCTCGGAGCCTGGAGCCTGTTTCAGATTCTGTGTCTCCCTCTCTCTGACCCTCCCCCATTCATGCTCCGTCTCGCTCTGTCTCAAAAATAAATAAACGTTAAAAAAATTTAAAAAAATAAAAAATAAAAAAAATAAAAGGCAAAAAACAAAACAAAACAAAACAGGATTTAACAATAACAATGAACTATTTCTCCATTGATTGCAGTAACCCTGGCTAATCAGAGTGTGGTCTCTGAGTAGCAGTAACACCCACGTGAGAGCCTCTTAGAAAAGCAGAATCTTAGGGCCACCTGCCTGGGGTCCACATGCCCTGTTTTCACTGCCACCCTTAGTTCTCTTTTGACCCTTTAGTCTCAACTAAGGTGGTGGGTGGGGGAGGGCAAAATGATGGAGGAACAAGATTCAAGGGAGCCGAGAAGTGAGAAACTGCTTCACTATTCACCTGCTGACTCCCCACTACCTGGCTGGATCTACCCTCATCTGCGATGTGAAGGCACAGGACAGCCACAGCATAGGAAGAGGCTAGCCCTAACGGGGGAGGTGGGTCATCTCCCACCGTGGCCCTTCCCTACTCACTACAACTGAGGATTCAGCTGTGCCTTCCTAAGACTGAAGACGGAGATCAGTTTGAATGATTCCCATTGCCCACAGGGATTTGGATTTCTTTAACGCTTTCTCAACATGTCACACTGCACTTAGAAACAATGCTCTTTACAGTGATTAGGCTTAGTATGCAATTCTACTTTATGGAGAAAGTATGTAGAAATGTCAACTTATTCAACATTCATTCTGATTTGGTTAGCCATACTTCTGAGAATCCTAGATTGTCTAGAAGTAACCTCATAAGCCAAAAAGCACAAAATGAGAGCAAATCACTTCAGTCTTTTGTCTCTAATTAAACTGGGCATTTTTTATTTGAATATGTCGCTGCCCGTTGTAGCTCCTGAAACACGTCATAACTTTTTTTCCAAAATAATTCTTCCCCTTCCTGAATACTCATCAGTAACAAAGCCAATGTCCTGATAATCTTCTGTAGAACGCTGGTTGCTTGTTATACAATTATTTGTTCACTTCTATATGCCACATACTAGAAACCAGAGGTTGGAAGGTACAGCCCTGGGCAGTAGAGAGCCTGTATCTTAACAGAACACTTATGTTTCAATATCCCTAGTAGTAAGAACATCATTCTGGACTGTTGGGTCAACCCTAATTATATGATTCCCCTCCTTATGTGGGGTAAGCAAATAGTTTCAAATCTTTACTTTTTAAGTGTGAAACCTCAAGGGTTCTCACCTCAAAATGTAAAATGTGCACTTAGTGGACAGAGAAAATATTTTACCATCCAATCTCACATGAAAATAGAAAAAAAATCAAAGCCAGTGAAGAGTCTTGATAAGAAGCCTCAGAGGAGGAAGAGAAGTATATGAAGAGACAAAAGCCTAGATTCCAGAACAAATTCTGTCCTCTAAAGATCTGTGTAACTTCAGGTATGTCATTACACATAAGTGTTCTTAGGCTACTTATTTATCCTCGAATGAGGTTGTTATTAATTATGCTACAAGATTTGGGCAGAGACCAAATGAAACCTTTAGAAGGTGATATTTTTGATAGTATTGGTGGCATTTGTTGTTAATGATCATTGGGAATGATGAGTGATTCACTGTTCTCACTCTCCTCTGAGGAGAGGGACAAAAGTAGTCAGGTCTAACCTACAACGAGAAGCAATAAAGAGAAGTTCATTAAGAGTTTCCTAACTATAAGAGTTAAGAAATTCTGAAACATATTAACTAAGAGATTTGGGGATGACCTTTTTTAAAAATCTGTAAGGGAGATGTGAGCACTTAGGCTTCTGGTGCATCTCTGGTATGGTGGAAGCTTAGGGATAAATCATAGAACCTCTAGGTTTTGCCTAACCCGGAAACATGGATGGCTGTCCCCTACTGCAGCAACAGTCACCATGTCCCTGAGAAACTGGTTGTCTTCCATTGCTTGTCCTAGGTGGTGCTGTTTTAAATTGGTGTTGAGAACTATTTTCTTTTTTTTTTTAATATGAAGTTTATTGTCAAATGGGTTTCCATATAACACCCAATGCTCATCCCAACAGGTGCCCTCCTCAATCCCCCTCACCCACCCTCCTCTCCCTCCCACTCCCCAGCAACCCTCAGTTTACTCTCAGTTTTTAAGAGTCTCTTATGGTTTGGCTCCCTCCCTCTCTAACTTTATTTCCCCCCTTCCCCTCCCTCATGGTCTTCTGTTAAGTTTCTCAGGATCCACATAGGAGTGAAAACATCTGGAATCTGTCCTTCTCTGTATGACTTATTTCACTTAGCATAACACTCTCCAGTTCCATCCATGTTGCTACAAAAGGCCATATTTCATTCTTTCTCATTGCCATGTAGTATTCCATTGTGTATATAAACCACAATTTCTTTATCCATTCATCAGTTGATGGACATTTAAACACTTTGGGATGCAGGAAAAGCAGTCCTGAGAGGAAAATACACTGCAATCCAGGCCTATCTCAAGAAACAAGAAAAATCCCAAATACAAAATCTAATGCACACCTAAAGGAAACAGAAGCAGAAATTATGGAGAACTATTTTCAAGAGAACTATTTTCAAGTTAAACTCATGAAAACGACTCACCTGGTTGCCTCCGCTCTTGGGGTTCACAAACACAAGCAAGGGCTTCATGAGAGGAGAAGAGATAGGTTTTATCACAAAAGGTCGACCTCTGTTTTCCTGCTGAAGGAAGAAAGCAACACTATTGAGACATCCATCCATGACTCAGACAAGTGGCCTGGAAGCAATGGAAGGGAGTAATTACCAGAACCCCCACCGGCCCTAACCCTTGCTCCTCCAAAATAAAAAAGCTACATCTTGTTTTACACGGCTTACTCTAAAAAAGACAGTCCATATAAAGCTTAGAAAAAGGATCTCAAGCTATAATTTTCCCTTGGGAAGTAAGCATGCTTCTGATTTGACTCTGTACACTCTGAGCATTCTAGAAATGTTAGCTCTTCATCTTTATCTTCATCATCTTTGGGATGACACTTCCATGGACAAGTGCAAACGCTCTGATTCTGAAGCAGCAGGAGGTTATAGAGAGGGAGACATCTTAAAGAAACAGAGAGGATTCCAATGTGGTCACAGGGTAGAGAAGGAGGGAAGAAGGGTAGAAAATTTATCAGAAAAATAAGCTTGGGCCAGATCACATCGGACAGGGGTGGCTACAGTAAGGAGGATGCAGTTCACCAGGACGTAGTCCTGAAACACTTACTTCAGTTCCTCTTTTACTGGCTTTTCTTTTAAAGCTTGTTCTCTTCTTCTTCCGATTTGAAGCCTTCAGCGAGTTCTGTAGGGAAGGAAGGAAACACCTGAGCCCAGAGGCAGACGGCCCAGGAGCTTCCCATGCAGAACCATGTAGGAGGTGAGGGCAGCACATGCTGTTCCACGCATGCTTCTCATGCTTTGACACTTCCAAGCCACTGTTCATGGGTAAGCCACAGACAGAAACCAGTCGAGTGCTTCAGAGTGAGCAACTGACTCCCCACCACACGGAGAGGCAGGGAGCTAGAACCCTGGAGGCTCTCATGGACTCACATAACAACACATGTTATACCTGCCAACCCTCCCAGTAAAAATGGAAGAATCCCAAATTCTCTGAGGGGCTCCAGTCTCCCGCCCAACCAGGTCCGTCTCCCGCCCAACCAAGTTCAAGTTCATCTCCTGGTATGGAGATCACCTATGTGGAAATGTAAAAAAGGAGGCCATTTTTCATGTTTTTCTATTTTTTTTTTTTCTGTTTACTTTTTTTGGCAATGACCTTTCTAGTAATAGTCATACAGTGATTCAACCCTAAGGGAACATTATGATTCAACTATCCTATCAGCACTGATGGCTAAGTTTTAAAATGCAGAGATAAGACTCACCGTAAGTTACTTCTATTACTAGAGTGACATCAGTGCTCTCTTTCTCTAAAGACCTATTGGTTTAAAATGTCTTCCCTCCCCTGGTAGCCTTGATTTGTCCTTCTCATAGAAGTGCCTCCAACTTGTTGAAATACAGTGACCCCCAAATTTACTTTCCCTGTTTTTCTCTTTCTTGGAATTATACGGACCACAACTTTCTGGTTACTTCAACTAACTCTTAATATATGATACAGACGCTTCGCGAAGAACCTCTCTTAGGGGACAGTCACAACTCACTGGTTTAATTAGTAGAGAGTCAGTAATTAATTAGATTGCCATCTTCACAAAGGCAAGATGTTACTATCACATCATAGATGTTTAACAAATGTTGAAAGCCTGAAACACAGAATTCTTAACTTAAAAGTTTATATGAGCATACACACATGCATTGCTTGAGCAGTTAAAGATTCTCAAACAGCTTCAAGAAACTTAGAGACCTACTCTTACTTTGCGGGGTATTTCTTTTCTTAGAGCATTCAAAATAAACCTTACTCTAGAGTACACATATTAACACATTTGAATTAGCAAGAATGAAGCTATTTAACTTTTATTTTACTTTCATATGGACCATAAAAAAAACAAAAACAAAAACACGCTGCTCTGTAGCTGGAGCTCGTTGAGGATGAAGGAAATTTTCTTGAAGCACCATTTGTCCCAAAGTTTTCTTCCCCCATCAGATTAAAAGAGTTTTCAGGCTCTGAGTCTCACCAGAGGAGAGAGATCCAGAAGTTCATGGGTGCTTTAGACCAAAGGTCATTTCTCACCACTCACTGTAGACTATACTTCTCCTGCAAAAAGATCTCCAAGTTTCTGAATTCCTCTTTAAATGGGTCTACTATCACATTCCACTTTGGAAAAACTTTCGCATTATTAAAGTCTTTCCCATATTTTAACTACTTTGTTTAAAAAGGGAAGAAAAACCATCTGGAAAAAACCATCTGGTAATTTTAAACACTTAATTGGCCAAATGTCCCAAGAAGAATCCGAGAGACTGTTAGGATGGCAATTAATGATACTGTGTGGTTCTCAACCAATCACACACGTTGGCCTCATCCAGGGTTCTTTTAAAAATGCTGACACATGGATCTCCAAATACTCTTTTGTTTGGGGTGAAGCCCAGGCAAACATACTTTTCAAAAGCTCCCCAGGCAACTCTAGTGCGTAGCCAGAGCGGAGAACCTCTGAAGTCAAAGGGAAAAGTGAGGAGACATACATACTGCACTAAAGCACAATACCAATGGGATGAGGAGCATGAGCTGTGGAATCTGACCTGCTGGATGTTAGTTCTGGGTCTTCCGGTTACGAGATCTAGGACCTTGGCCAAGGAAGTCAAGCTTTTGAAATGACAGTCTCTTAATTTTTAAAATGAAGGTGATAATACCTACCTCATGGGACAGTTGTGAAGTTTAAAGGAAAAAAGGTATGTGAAGCAGTTAGCTTGGTGTCGGCCCATGATAAGCACCTCCATCAATGTGGCCTCATTCACAGCTGTATATCCCCAGCACTGAGCCCAAATGCCTGGCACCTCGAATCATTGTTGAAATGCATCAGTATTGTAATTCCCAGCACTTACTGAGTCTTTCCTGATATTGGAAAGGATCCCCCGGAAGTGAATGCTTGCCTCCTAGCTTCTTGGTTGTTTTAGTTCATTTATTGCCCAGAGCAAGGTAGGGAGCCAAGTGCTTTCAGGAACACACTACAGGCCTTGGTTCCTGGCACGAGTCAGTAACTAAACTCTAAGAGAGAAGTCTAATGGATCAGGCTAAGATTGTCTCCCAAACTTGCCTCATCACAGAAATCACAGTTCTCCAGGTGATTCTGCTGATCAAGCATGTTTGGGAAACAGAGTTAGCAAAACACATCAAAAGAAGACTTGATGTCTGAAAACAGAGCAGGCAAGGAACTCAACTCTAATAGGGAACAGACATACACAATGGCCTTTTTAACACAGATGCAGCAAATACAAATGCTTCTGGGCCTCATGGAGCCAAATGCATGTGAGGTCCTCTTCATCTCACAGAACAAAAAGGGAGCCAAGATGAAGCACAGTGATTGACTTACAGTACCTGGATGCTTCTATGTGAGCTCTGAGTTAAGCTTACAGCCCTATGGATAGTCAAATAGCAAAAGATAAGCAGTATGGAATTTCACAGCACACCTTGAAATTCTTGAGGCTTCCTTCTGTTCATGTGTATATATGTATCTCGGTCCCAACATAGAACTTCTTTTAGAAAGTATCATCATAACAGATGGATGTGAAAGCAGATTTGGGTTGTGTTTCAGCCATGACAAGATAAGTCACCTCGTCTTGCTAATCTAAGACATTGCTCATGCTGCCTGGGTCAGTCTTGTTGTGAGAGTTAAAATAGCAGGCTTTTCAAGAACATAAAAATTATGCCAAGAAGTTATATTTTCGAATTGTTGGTGCTGTTATTCAAGAAACCAGCGATGCATGTACTGCGTTCAAAAACAAAGCATCCCTGGCATCAAGGGCAGCTAACTCAGTGATACAAAGGCTTCATTTAGCAAGTTCAATACCATCCAAACAGTGAAATGCTGTACCCTCATGTGGATTTTTGCATTCTTCAGATTGTAACTGCATCTACCACTCTATGTTATGTGCCCACTCTTTTGTTCAAGTCCTAAGAATAAAGGCTTTTTTTAAAAATAACCAGGTATTGAGGCAGTATTATTTCGCTACAGAAATAATCCTACCAACAAAGTCTCTATCATAGTTAGGACTCCTTCTTGGGCTGTTGAAAAATGCCTGTGGGTAAATCACTCAACTGTGAATAAAACTTAACTACCTGTTATTACTCTTCAGGGATTTTCCCAGGTTATGAGATCACAAAGGACTGGTTGTAACAAGAGATCTAAACAGAAGACATGTCACACTTCATCATCCCAAATGAAGCCTTCTCTCATTGTACACCAGACAAAACTCTGATGGATTACAGGAGAGGCATGGACTTGGGTCTATTAGAGAGCGCTCTTACTCTGCCCTGTTCTAGCTGTAACACTGGGAAAGGAGTTGTCCTGAGGACAGGCAAGCAGAGAAATAAAGAAAACTAATTCCAAAAGATAAGGACAGGGTCTCAGCCATTTCTCAGACATGTTTGGTTAAATTACAGCAAGTGTTGGCTAACCTTTAGAACTGACCAAAGCAAATGGCCTGAGAAATTCTGATAGATACAGTCAGTCATAGCTGTTACATATCCTGGGTCTCAGTCTCCAGCATTTCAGCATTATCCAATAAGGAACAGGGACATGAAGAAACATGAAGAAAGCCCATATAGGCTAGGAAGGAGTTGACTGCAGCATTTTTTGTAAGTAGGCCATTAGAAACAGTACAAATATCCATCGGTGGGGAGTTGGTTAAATAAACTGTAATATATTCACGGTATGAAATACATACAGCAGTTTAAAAACAAGTTAAATCTAGATGTATTAATATAGACTTTTGCTCAAGATCTTTCTTAATGAGGAAAGGCCAGTTTTAAAGTATTATATATGGAATAATGCCATTTATTAGAAACACATACCTCTGGTCTCCTATAACTTGACCCCACCAAAAATTCATGTAACCCAGGTCTTTCTCCATCAGCTCCAAGTGCTTGCACTAGTAGTTCAACATCTTTAATTTGTTTATCTGATCAAAATATTATCCTCTAACACTTCCTGTCGAGAGGAAAAGCCCTGACATCTGTAACATGAACTATAATGTTGACTTCATTAAATGCATGAACAGATTTGTGCTTGGTTCTTAAAGTTTGGTTTTCTTTTAATTCTTTACTGTCATCTAAAATCTATCATCTTTTATTTTCTAGGTCCCTCCAAATAATTTGGTGATGAAACCCAGCAAACCATCCAGACCAGCCCTCACTCCCCTTACCATCAAGGCTCCACACAGCTGGTCACAGAGTGACGATCTACTCAGAAGCAGCCATCTTTTCACAGATCAGGAAAATACATGGTTTAAATCCACCTCTTTGCAGCCTGCTTTTCCTGACCTTTATACACTCAAAGTTGGTTTCTTCCTCTCTACAGTCATTTGTTTAGACATAAACATCACAAATAAAGCTGGCTTTATTTGGGGATCCACCTTAACTGTTGTTCTCAGTATGTTCTATAAACCTGTACTGTCCTTCCTCATCCCTCTTCCCAGTGAGGTCCCTCACGTCCTTCAAAACCAAGCACAAACAACCTACAATGATCCCCAGAACCCAAATTGCTCAAGTCTGCTTCATGTTTCCGCCTCGTTCCTACATCTCAGGTCACACTTCCACTCCCCGTGTGGCCTCTCACAGACCATGGCTAGTTCCACCAACCTGTGGGATCTCTTCTTGCCACCACTCTGTGCAGATCCCTCCTAAAAGATGCACACCGATGACAAAGGCAAACCTTCCCGTTATGTGAGACCACTCTTTTCATTAAGGATTTACACGTGGCTGAATTCCTCTTCCAGAATCCACAAATTCTCTGCCTAATGATTTAGTTCACTCTTCGGTGTCCACTCTTTGTGGACATCAGGTGAATATCTGATTCATCTCTGGGCCTCCCACTGCACACAGTGGCATCTGTGAATGTACTTAAATATCTACTTCGTTCAGTTCAGAGTATCTTCTCGTTTTTAAGCAGTATCTTCCAATATAGAAATATACAGAAAAAAATATACATGAATTCTACAGGTAGGAAAAACATCTTGTCTGCTGTCCTCCATCTAATTTCCAAACTCTTTTTTAAATTGTTTCTCAAAGTCCCCAATGAATTCTTTAAACTGCCTGCTTCCACACCATCGCTAACAGCTTGCCACCCGCATTCCTCAAACTATAGTTTCATGGTCATCAATGATCTAGTCCCAAACACAAAGACTTTTCTCAATCCATGATTTTTTAACGTCTTCAGAATTTCACACTGATGACTGCCCTCTTTTTCTTTCTGTTTTTAATAATGAAGCTCTGTGTTGTCTCCCTGTTTTGTAGGATTCTCTTCCTCCTTTCACTTTCTTGTTGTAGATGCTCACCCGGTCTGCTTCAGTTCTCCAGTTCAGTAAATGAATAGCTCTTGACTCTCTCCCATGGAATAAGAATCATGCTAGTGAACACACAATCCCACTACAGTATATAATACAACAGTTACAGTGGCATTTCAAGGGCCACTCGAGAGCACAGACAACAGGGTACCAGACAACAGGCTGTGGCCCCTACGCTGCCTCTCTCCCCATAAGAATCCTTTTGCCATTTCCTCTCATTGTAATACGGACGGGTCAGGGAACAGTAACTTCTGTCCTGACCCCCGTGTGACTGTTCAAGGTTCACCTCTGTTGATGTAGAACTTTCTTTGATATCCTATACTCAACAAGGAAAATAACAAGAGTTAACATTTACTGAGACTTACAGTGAGCTAAGCGCTGTTCTACGTGCTTTATTTTTTTTTACTTTTTAGCTCATTAGACCTCATGAAAACCCTATGAATTCAGTACTAGTATTATTTACATTTTGAAGATGAAAAGTTGAGGAGTTTTAATTCTTTGAGATTGTGTAAGTTATTAAATAGCAGAGCAAGCATATGAATCTAGGCGATCTGACTCATAAGCTAGAGCTCTTAAGCACTACTGTATTGCCCCCCAAGCTCATCATACACCGGATTTCAAAGAGAATTTAGTTAATTGATTACTTCTTTTTTGAGGTCCATAGGACGAGGGATACCAAAATTTTTAAAGATAGGTGACTTAGCAAGGATTGTTATAGTAAGACTGTGAGGCAGCAAATGAGCTTGGTTTCCAGTCTCAGAATTCCTGGGTTCAAATATTACCTCAAACTAGTTAATAACTTTATGGCCCTGGATAATTTATTTGCCTTCAATTCCTCACTTCTCAGCTACAACATGGGATTAGGATACCTGCCTCACAGGGTTCTATGATGGTGAAACGAGATACTGAAAATAAAGTACTTGAAATCGTTCCTGATACATATAAAAGCATTCATAAGTGTTAGCTATCCTTGTTCTCATTATTACACTGTTCTGAATCATAAAAGGACAATAAAAACATGTGTGATGAAAACAGACTGTGAACCGTATCTACCATCCTCCATTAAAAGTAACCAAGATTCCTTAGAGAAATGGCTGCTTGCAGGTATGAACAGGAAATGCTTAAGATGATCCTGGAACATGGTGTGATTCATGAAACAAAGGAAGGTATCAAAAACATCATGGCTTATGAAAAATGGAGATAAAAGCCATCTGGAAGGGGTTCTAACTGGTAAAAGATAAAACAATATGAATATAAAAAAAATGATGCCAATGGACTGAAACATCATATGTTTTATATACATATATATATATATATATATATAACATGAGGTAAGTTAATAATTCATAAAGATACTCTCCACAAACCACCACCACCACCACCATCGTTAGCCAACTAATAAAGTTGCTAAGGTACCAAGCAATTATTCTGAAAATTTACAAATAAAGGTAAATACTCAAGCATTTGTCATGTATTAGCTTTATTTTTTAGTTCCCTTATTACCAGCAGAAAAATAAAAAAGTACAAATTAGAAAAACCACCTCTTGGTAACCTCTAATAAAATAATAGTAAATTAGGTAATCATCCTTAATGGATCAAACAGATGAAAGGCTCATGGACAACTTTTTAATAGATGGCTTAAAAGGATAGCTCCAGAACTCACTGATGAGTCTTAGAGCTAAGAGTGAACAATCTCATATTCTGTTCCTTTGAAAGCAACACTACAGAAATACACCACCCCGATGTAGTGCAAACTAGTCTCACAGCCTCACGAGTATAATTTTGGATACAGCACCCTTGCTGGTATCATTCTCCTGCCTGCTCTTTCCTCTCTTTTCCATCGATCTAAATCCCACCCATCTTTAAAGAGGTAGGATAAAACCCACCTCCTTCATGAGGCTCTCGCCCTGATCTTTCCTTAAGAGAACTACATAGTTCTTCAGAGCAAGGATCACCACATATTACATCACAATGCCTAATAGCTTTCCCGAAACCATCAAGATTTTCAGTGAAACATATTGGTTGAACTGAAAATTTGATATAAAGTTCTTGGAGACACTACTGAATTTCAGGGGTTGGGGAACCAAAGGGTAGTAAAGAAGTAAAAAGGTTAGATTTTTTAAGTTAACACTGAATTGAACATCGGTACACTTGAATTTCAAACACAGTACTATACTTGCTATCACCTTGGGCACCTCCTTTAACAGCTCTTAGCATTTGGCTCTAAAATGTAAGATGAGAAAGCTAAGGCTCCCATTTTTTAATGTACAGATCCTGCACTTGCCTCTGGAAAAGATTTCCCAAGGGCTTTCACGGATTGTGACATGGAAAGATTATTACTAAGTGTTACTCATCAACAGAAGCTGAACTTAAATAAAAACACACAAAGCAAAAGTGTCCATGATCCACCAGTTTTTAAAATAAAACTGAATCAATGAGAATAAAATGCATGAGGATTCTGAAGACCATATAAAGTAGGACTGCCACAGGTTATAAAGATATTATACTCAGTAGGACATCCTAAAGTAGCTGCATCCCCAGGGGAGGTACCACCTTTCCCCCATCACATTAAAAGTCTGCCAACCCATACCTTGGAGCTAATGGTCTAAGATGTCTAGTACAAAGGTAGAAATTTTGCTGTCAAAGATTACGACCTTGTTGAGAAACCACTAAGGTTTCCCAGAATATTGCAGAGACACTCTAGGACAGAATGTACAACAAGAATTGAATACAGAATGAGATTAGGTATTAAGAGGATAAATTCTACTTTGCCTTAAGAAAAGAGTGTTGCTCTCTGAGCAGGCCTTGTGTATTTAGGAAGGTCATGACCCACAGTCTGCCGGTCAGGTTGGAAGTGGTGGTAATCTCAACCAAACACGGAAGCCTGCACAGTTTGCCCTCACATTCACTCCCTGGGGATGCCCAGGCTGGAAGAGAAGAGAGTTGTGTAAGAAATTAGCTGCACCCACCACTTGTATTTAATGAATTCAGGAGAACACCCAAAGAGAATATCATTAGCACATGAATGGGAAGGAAACATTCCTGCTGTGGAACTTTGATTTCTTTGGGAAAGGGAGGCTGGTTCCATGAGAGAGCCCAACTGCAGTAAAGTGATGGGCTAATGGAATGTACCCGGGAAGCTGAGCATGGGGCTGTGGGGATGAGTGAGCAGAGATTTTTAGGAACCCCCAAAAAAAGTCAGGGCAAGAAAAGCAAGAAGCAGCAGTCCCTTCTTCTCTGCACAGGCCCAGCAGCACCAGGGTCCCAGAAGTTACCTGAGGTTTCTTCACCTTAATGATCCAGGTGGGCGGGACAATGACAGCAGCATGAGCCCCCAGGGAGCAGGGTTCTTCAATGTGATGCAGCATGAAGCAGGTCACCTTATTGTGAAACTGAGGAGAAAAACAGCCAGTAAACAAATCCAGGAATCATACATGGGCACAAGGAGTAAGTACATGTGCACGTGCACGCTCGCCCACAGGCACAGACACCGAGGACACATGCTCCTTATCACTACCCAAACAGCCCTGGAAGTGAGCAGATTTTGAATTCGTTCCACTTTACAAACAGATAAAGAAATCAACCTTGTAGGTCAAGGCCAGCTAAAACTTTATAGGCTTTTAATAGGATATTTACATAACGAGGTCGCGAATGCTTCTATGAATCCTAGCCTTGCATATAATTTTGTTGCACTTGACTTGTGCTGGTCACAGACTAGACGGGAAACAATGTTGAGGAGGAAATGAAGGCAAGCAGAAGAGCAGTTCCTCTCTTTTTGCTAATCACAGATGTAAATCCACCCGGGATAGTCCCTCCAGTTTAGGACACCCAGGAAAGAAGCAAGAGGTCTCTTCTAGAGAGTTCTTAACTCAAGGGGAAACAAAGAGATTGCCTCTGCTGGGGTGTTTGGGGCTGCCGAAAAATACAACGAACCTATTACACTTGGCAAATCTAAAATGCTGCCTGTTTTTGATGGGAAGGAAGTAAATGTAGACTGATGATCGTAGCAATACTTCAGGATTAGTGGTTAAACTCTGTACCAACAGACTAAGTGACCATAGGCCAATCACATATTCAATCCTCTTTTGTGTGTAAAGTGATAGTGATGTGTGGTAATAATATTTTCCTAATAAACAAAATCCACATGCTACAATAATTATGGGCCTTAAAGTTTTAATCAGGGATTTTTTAAAAACCTTAACATCAGTTTCTACCGCATTATACTTAATGGAACCGTAATTTGTCATCATAACTGGAACAATTTTAAGAATGGAAGGGAGCACTAATAATAATTACGTTGCAACAAAAGACATAAATTAGGTTGGTCTCTGGAAAACTGGCAAATATGGCCACCCCAATCCTGTCATAGAGAGAATCTGCCTTCATTTCTGCCTATTGTCAAGGTCTGATGTGGTCCAGTAGAAAATTACTAATTAAGTATAAACACAAAATCAATTATTAATTTCCCCTACCATCAGTTATTTGTGATCTCCAAATTATGATACACTAGAGAAATATTATTTGAATACCTTCTTTAAAAACTGATTTTCTTTCAGCAATTCAGATAAACCCGTAAATGCCCATTTTCATTGCATTTCTAAAATGGCCAGGATCTCCAAGACAGCCTGTTTCAACTCCTAATTTGTACTTGTGTCGTCTCCAATCTAGACAGAGAGCCAAAAGTGCATAACTTTCACAAGGTGGAGTCAGAGCCTAAACCCAAAAGCCCAGCTCTCAAATCCAGTTTGTTTGTTTGTTTGTTTTTTCCTGCTGCCGGAAGTGCCTACAGGGGGCACTTATTTGACATTAGATATCCTAGAAGGAATTACCTGTAGGGCTAAAATGTATCACCAATGTAATTTGTCTTAAATTTTTATATTTCTAGTTCTTGCAAAATCACCTACAATGGGATTCAATTGGACTATGAATTAATGTAAAGACAACACGTGCTCCAGGTGAAGTGGGATTGAGTTCCCAAATTAATGGACTCTGGAGAAACCATCTCACCACAGCCTAGAAGTTCCAGCATCGGAACAGATGCAGCCTACAGGAGCCCACGCTGCCAATACTCTCCCACAGGTGGCGTCTCAACAGATCAGGGAAATCAGCAGCACATATACTGTTAGGGACACCTGAAACCTGAATCAGCTTCTTTGTCTCTAGGTGGAGATAGTGCCTTGATGGAACAGGATAGTTTCATTCAAGAACTAGGATGACCTTATATTTGTGAGCAGATTCTTGAACAAAGATTATTTGTGTAAAAATTAACTGAAAGGAGATGGAAATGCCTAGAAAATGTGGCAGGATAGGGACACAGCAAGCACTGAGCTTTCCAGACTAGTGCAACCCTATCTACTGACAATAGGTTCTCCTGATATGTGGGGGCCCAGGGAAATTATGCTACAGAGACTGGGTCAAACTTTATAAAATTCCCAAAGTTCAAAAGCAGCTGACCTACAAACATGTCACTTTTATGTGTTTCACCTAAATTCATCTGCTCTGGCCCTGTGGGCTAGGTTGGCTTGTTAAATCTCATGTGTGTAGGGGGCCAAAGTCTTCCTGCAAACCCTTAGCTGAAATACTGCAGCCCTGTCTTTTCAGGTTGTCTGTGCAATGAACAGACTCTGCCCCAATTCCACAGTCATTCAACAAAGTAGGTGAACTGAGAGATTAGAGCAGGGGTCTGGAAACTTTTTCTATAAAAGGCCCGGATAGTAAATAGTTGAGCTTTACGGGGCCATACCGTCTCTGTGGCAACTATCAACTTTGCTATTGTAGCCTGAAAGTAGCCATGGACAATACATCAATGGATGGGCATGGCTGTGTTCCAGTAAAATGTTATTTATAAAAACAGGCAGCAGTCAGATTTCGCCTATGGGCCACAGCTGGCCAATCCACAAGTTAGCATTGTCTGGTTAAAAAAAGAACAGGTATGTAGGCAAATAAGAAAATGAACCCTCTGGTTGAAAAGGGGTATTTAAAAAAAATGTCAAAAGGATAGACAAAAGAGGAAAATAGGGAAAACATCACTGGATCCTAACGAACATATATATGTTCAAATGTAAGGAACAGCTATAAAGAGCTATAACAACATCCAAGCCTAAAGAAGGCTACAAGACCACTCCTTACCCCGGTACAGCCCCATAAAAAAGACACCCACATCAAAAACAGAAGAACCAAGATGGCTTGATTCCGGTGTTAGAAGGATTATCCAATGGTGCAACTTCCAACCGTAGAGGAGTTGTCAACAATCTAGTGCAATGGAAGAAATACATGCTAGGGGGTGAGAAGTCCTCGAGTCTAGACCCAGGGTAGGAACAGGGGAGGATTTCCCAGGCTCTGATCCTAGGCTTCAGTGTGTATAAATTAAAGGGTTACTTGAATCTCTAGTTTCTCCCATTTCATAGAGGCATTAGTCCTATGGTTTAATCTAATCCTTCAAGGATCCTATGTGAGAGAAATAATACATAAATTAGGATGACCTTCCGTTCGTTTACAGACAGCAACTCAAGTAATGACATAGGTTCATTTTGATAAAACAAGAGCCCACTTTGTTTCATTTCGTTCCCAAACTTACCGCCTGTTTGCACCAGGAACAGCTGATAGCCACAATCTCTTTACTGTGGAAGGAGAACTTTTGCTGGAAGCCCTGGGGGGTTAGGACAAGAGATAGAGAATTTAAAACCACTTCAATCACGGCACGCATTTGCCCTCCTGAAGTCCAATGAAGTGAGGAAGGCCAGATGTGTCCCCACCACTCAAGGTGACTGGGACTGCCAATGCCACATTCAGCACTTACGTCCCACCCTCTGCCATGTAAGAGTTTCCTACCCCTGAATCATCTGGAGTGTGAGAGGAGGCCCCAATATTTGCTGTGCCACTAAGTACTCAAGCCAGCCACAAAGAGTTGTTTCTTTTCCCCCAAATAAATGTGGTTTGGATAGGGTTTTATTACAAGCAAAAGAAAAGCCACTATTGGGCCACATAGTTCTTTTCAATGATGGGCATCCATCTCAGAGCTGCTGTGCAACCTTAACATCTGAGAATGCACAGAGAGAGAAATTAAGTATCAGAGTTAGGACCTAGAAGCAGGGGTGTGGAAGAGTCCGAGGGTGTAGGAGGATTTTCAAACACTTTCACCATCCCCCTTGGGGCTCCAAACAAGCAGCTTTCAATGTTTATTCTTCACCAGCAAGCAGGAAAGAGATTAATGGAATGGCAAACACAATCCTTTTAAATGAACAATTACTTTTCAATCAAGAATGGAAGAGGCGCTTTTTGGCTGTTGCTATCCTTAAAGAATTATCAGAGAGAAGTAAGTACGCAGTAATGCTCAAAGAATTTCGTTTAGCCTTCCCAAAGCTCTTCCATTTCTATCTTCCTGTGACATCTATACTCGAATAAAGTAACGCAAAGCAATGACAAAAAAAAAAAATTGTAAAAGGGATTTTGTAAAGTGATCAAAAGAAAACACAAAGATGTGATAGGCAGGGAAGCTATTAAGACATTGGCTGAAAAGTCTTGCTTTAATGTGCACAGATAATCTTAAGAAAACAAATCAATTTACACATTACTAAAACAATTCTCAATGGCATTTTGTGCAGTCCCCAGAATTCCTACCAATCTGTGGCATTTTAAATACCATGGGGCGTTTTCTCCATTTTGAGCCTCTCCCTCTTCTTGGGCTCCTAAAACACAGTCACATTCTCCACCTGCTTCTCTGGTCCCCTGCACACGATATAAGACCAGGACCGCTTTCAGTCCTCTGTGCTCTGCGATTCCTCCTTTAATCCCCTTCTTTTGCCCCAAACTCAAATCTCACTTCCAGAAACATGACTTAACATCAGACTCTTCCTGGATTTTGAAAAATCTCTCCTTCAATATCCCTCTCTCAGCAACTTAAGTGATAACAATCATTCCAAGTGCAGAGAAGTGAACACAGCAGGGGGGGTGACCACTCTCCTTACACAGCTGCTTGCAAGCCTGGCCCTTGGCTGGCATCTAGAAACTTGGACTTCCAGAGGGGTTCCCCATTCCCCCAACAGTTAAGAGTGGGTCACTGCACCTAAAATGTTGGTACAAATGATGTGGTTTATGCTAAACACCTGCTTTCCTTTTGAGACTCTGGGATGTGGATATGTGCCACGCAGAAGGTGCTTATGTAACCAGCCCCCAGTAAAAACTCTGTGCACTGTGCCTCTAATGAGACTGGAGGACAACATTTCACGAGTGTGGTCACAACTCATATGGGAGGAATTAAGCACACCCTGTGTGACTCTGTTAGGAGAGGCCTTTCAGAAGCTTGCACCCAGTTTCCTCCAGGTTTTGCCCCATGTGCCTTTTCTTTTGCTGATTTTGCTTTGGATCCTTTCATTGTGATAAATCAGAGCTGTAATACATACTGAGTCCTAGGAGTAATCCTAATGAATCTTCGACACAGGTGGTCTTACGGACCATAACACACTCACCTCTCCCCAAATAATGCCTCTTTCTGCCAATGACACTATCATTTTCCCCCAGGAAATGACACACTGTTTGTAAAACACACGTGGACTGAATTATGAGGACAGGTGTGGTGTTCAGTGCTGTGTGGCCACCAACAACCCACACAGCCCCCAGCACGGAGACTTAGAACGGCCAGACAGAAACAGCTTACAGAGAGGACAGCAAGCCCGGGGGCCAAAGGGTTAGGTATGCAGGTCTTTTCAACTCAGTGGGATAGAATTCCATTCAATAGGAGTCAATGTGATATATGATGGCACCAAATCTGAAGGAATGAATTCACATGGGAGGTGTATGCCAAGTTCCTCATCATCTCTCAAGGCACTCTTGATGGACTGGGCCAAAGAGAGATGAATAAAACTTCTCTTTAGAGCCAGTGAAACAACCTGTGACTGCGGGAGGAAGGAAGCTAGCAGCCAAGAGCAAGGCTACTGATGCTGGTGCAGTGCCTGTGCAGGAGCTCCTGAGGCCAGTCTTGGCCATGCAGCTAGGCCCTTCTATCCTGCACCCCGTATCCAGCAGCCATCAGGCTCCACGGATTGGTCACTCCACATCTGGATGTCTGCTCCATTTTCTCATTTGTTTCTCCTGGGATGGTCTGTTTTCCCCTATATTCTTCACCCTATCCTGGGCATGGCCTCCAGGGAAAATACTGCTTCTTACATATCAGTGGCTGTCTCAAAATACTCAAATAGTGACTTCTTTCCTCAAAATTACAGGACCAACTATTCACACTGGCATCTAGAGCCACCCATAATCTTCCCAATTTTTCGACACCAATCTCCCATGCCTATTATAAATTCCTGTGTTTAGTAGGATGGATTTCGTTATATTTTCAACATGCTTTGTTCATTTCCATGTTTTTGCCCATTTTTTTCTCTGTTTTCTTCAAGCCACCATCTAGAATGCCTACCAATATTTCACATACAGCATCTGAACTTTACTTGCACTACAAAATTCCAAGTCTTCTAAGATCACCTGAATTCACTGTGATGGCTCCTCCTGGATTATAAGCCTTTCCACCTGGCCCTCACCTGGCATTGATGAAGTGCCCTAAGTTGCTGGTTATTTTATATGCACATGAATTATCTCTCCAATAGAATTATGAGCTCTTTGAGAGAAGCGCTTATAATATTTCTTGACAGATCTCTACAATCCAGCATAGTTCTTTGAAAATCATAGGCAGGGTATATTTTCTAATGGAAGAAGAAAGTCACTGCTACCACATCATGATCCAATTATGAATTTTATGCTATCCAGACCTTAAAAACCTAACCCAAACCACCTGAAAATATGCCCCTTACATAATCTTCCTCAACTCCTATAGGCATGGGAAGCATACTGGGATTCTAATTTTCATTTCTTAAATCTGTGACATTGACATGTTGCATGGCTGAAAACCAGTATGGTAGAACTGGTGACATAAGAGCAGTAGCCCCAACTAGAAGTCGGACTGTTCTGTGCCAAATGTATAAGTGGACAGAGTCTTAAACACTATTACCCAGCCACCATTCTATCAATTCATACAACAGATGATGGTATATCAAATAGAAGCTTATGGAGAGTCGGCAAAGCTAAGAATAGTTCTTGGCTCTTCTAATTATTGGCCTGGTGATCTCAGGCAAATCACTTAACACTTCCAGTTTCTCCCTTCACCTGAAAATGAGAATAAAAATACAAACTTCTCCTATACCACAAAATAGTTTTATTTATCAAATAAGGCAATTTACCTGAAAGATCTTTATAACACAGTAAGTATAAATGAAAGAATATTTTTATTGCGAAGATCCATCAACAGGAACCTCTCCCACCACCTTGCTGATGAAGTCCCCCAGTGACTAAAAGGACTAGTAATACTCTATTTGATGGTACAGAGTATGCGTATTAGCCCAGCCCTCTACTGCATATTGGCCTTCCGGCTTCAGAGAGAAACAGACACAATCCACCGTAGTCCCAACAGCCAGGACGATACCAGAAACAAACAACTAGGGCTCTGGGCACTCTACTCATATAGAATTGTAGTGGGTCCCTTGGAAACGAGGTCTGTTCTTTGTTTTGAATGCTAGTCTGACACAGTCACAGCAGCTTCGGCTTCAGGGTTATTGTCTAACATACAGACATAAATAGAACCACATCAGAGCCTTCATGCCCCAAGTTCCCACAGACCACCTGTGATGGGGAGGTTTTGGCCAGGATCTCAGCACAGCAAAAAGAGCCAGATTCCTAATTACCCATTTTAAAATGCTGGCCCAAATCTAATATTATGGTACTGACAGATGCCCCTACTGAATTTCAACTGACTAGGATTTTTAAGGACTATTTTGTTCATCACTATCACAAAGGAAAATGGGGATGGGAGGGCCAGATGCTTTAGATCTAACGGGCTTCGGAATTATAAATGCCATGAACCTCTTTTTGGTTGATTTTTTTAATGGAATTAAACCTTTGGAATACAATTTAAACAACATTTATTCTGAGCAGCTAAAACTTTGCTATCTCTTTTTCTTCTGCAATCTAGGGGATATACCCAATGGCAGTCAGTTCCACAGCCTTGGCTTAAACCAGGGGAAAAAAAGGGCTTTATTTGAAATGAACTGAAATTATTTTACTGTTTATGTATTTAACCGAGGTTTGGGTAACGGAAACTCCCGACCACCATCTGAGTCCCTGTTTGACTTCATTTTATCCAACAGAATTGTTGATACTTCCCTTGCCTCCAAACTTTTAAACAACAAAAACAAACCAAACCTCCCTGTATCGCTCCCATGTCCAAGATTCACAAAGTATTGCAAAAGGCAAACCCAAGGGAATGATAAGAGTAAGTCAATATTTATCTCAAAACAGAACTTGAAGCATGTTTGCTCGAGTACTTTCTAGAATTTTTGAAAAATAGATATACTTTTACACTTTCTAGATTTAACATCTAAAACGTTCGGAAGTTAGATGCAAGTTCATTATTTCTAGAAAAATAAAATAAAATAAAACTGTTGTAAAATTGTAAGTGGTAAACTTATCCAACGAGATATGAATACCATGGCGATTTAATACAATAAAAAAGGGAACATTTCCGATCAGGGCAGTACCTCGCTCAAGATCTCAAACTGGTGGTGTGGGTTCAGTGCAACTGCTTTTAACCAGCTTAGGCTC